TACATTAATCATTTAAATACAAATAATTTAAATATGTATCATTTATTATATTTGTTAATTATTCATAAAGACATTTATTAAAATCAATTATCAATAAAAAAGTAAAAGAAATTGATATATTTTTATTAAAATGAGGAAATACACTTTTCAAATGCAAAGATCAAATCTTTTTACATTGTATCTTACAATTTCCTTCATTAGTAATGACAATTTTAAGTTTATTCATTATATTTCTCGAAAAATTGCATGAAAAATGACATCAATATTCTCTTCACCAATAAACTGAACTGAGTCAAGTGAGTATTTTACATCAGAAGGAAAAACATCAAATTTCCTTCAAAAAATAGGATCTAAAACAATAACAAATGTTGTTAGTCCGTTATTTAAAGGTTGAATCTATATTTATTCTAGAGCAACCAAAATTAGCAGAAATTCAATTCTAACTTTATAAAATTAATAAATACTAACTAAAATTTAATTTAAATTAGCGATTGGATGTTAAAATATTTTTGACACATTATTTAATATTTGAAATCTAGTAATTTTTTGAAGAAACAACACGTATGAATATTTAAACAGTTAAGGTCAAAGTATTAAATTTATTTTCTCACAACATTTGATTTAATTATTAATTTAAAAAAAAAATCATAATAAAATGAAAATTATTTTTATTGCTATAAATAAGTAACTTAATTTATTAATTCTTATGAAAATGATATATCCAAATAACTTGTCAATTTGATGATTTTGATTTATTTCTATAAGATGATGATTGAAAACTATTAATTTAATTGATTGAAATTGTAAATTTTGAATTTATTAATATTCTTATTAAATTTAATGTAATTTTATTAACCATAAGTAATAAGATTTGTTATGCTGATTAAACCATCCCTAACCAATAAAATTTGTCATTCTAGATCCATAATTATCAAAAAATCAGTGGCATTCTGCAAGTCTTGCGGTCAATGTATTCAATCTAATTCTTAGATTTTGGATTATCAGTTTCTTAAATATTATTTTGATTAATAATAAAAAGAATCGATTTTAGAAAAGAGTCAATCATCATGCCTCATATATAATATTTGGAAAGCTTATAGAAAAATATAGAATCTCTGAAAACAAGATTGATTCAATAACTTGATCATTTAATTTGGCCAACAAAGAATTTGATTACTAACTTAATAGCCACTGTAATTTAATATAGCTTCTTTGAAGAATTGGATAAGCTAATCTCAAGGTTAATGAAAGTATTTGATAACATAAATCTTATTGATACTTTTGAAAATGGTCTAGAACTAATGTAAAATATATTATTGAAAAGTCCTTAATTAATAAAATAATATGTGTGTTAGTGGTGGCGGATCATATGATTAGGAAGGTTTTGGCATTAAAATTGGGTAATGGATTGATTTGAAGGAGGAATTTAGACGAAAACACAATTGTAATCCATTAATGTCAATATAAAAATGGTAAAAATTTGGTAAATGTGATATGAAATGGAATTGGACAATGTAATATATATCAATTATGGATTAATCTTATGCTTATGCCAGTGGATCATATTAAGAAGATGGTATAAAAATTGGGTAATGGATTGATTTTGCTGAAGGATTTAGTTTTGGATAACAATTAATTTTTAAAGACGAATATAAAAATGGTCGAAAATTTGGTAATTGGATGTTTAGTATCGAATTTGTTTAAGTTACCCTGATTTACAACAATCTTTCCCAAAAATGTATACAATAATATATAAAGGCCTTAATTAATCCAATAATGTACGATAGTGGTAGTGGGTCGTATGATGAAGAAGATAAAGGTTATAAGATTGGGCATAGGATTGATTTGGAATTAAATAATTTATAGTGGTCTATATGATAATAGTAAAAAGGTTGGTATTTGGGTGAAAATTTTAAGAAAAAGTAATTAATGGATGATAAATTTATTAAAGTAAAAGAAATATCTTCTGATATTTCAATGATCAAATCTAATTATGAAAAATAATATTATTAATTTATTAAAAATTGTCTTGAATGTGTAGTTTTATTTATATATAGTCAAATGACTTTAAATTAAACTTTTACTCTTCCTCTTGTTAACGAAATCTTAATAAAAGGAGTAAATTAGTATAAAGTGAAAATGAAAACTTGCACTTAAATAAAAAGGATTATATTTAACAAAGATTTAAGAATTTGTTTAATGAAATTCAAATCCTGCCTAAATTAGCTTGTTGTTGCACTTAGGATATTGCTCACAGTTTGACGAAATGATAAGTGAACCCTAATTTTGCTTATGAGGATGAAGTTGCTCTAACAAATTTGTGAAATTTGCACCTTTCAGAGGAATTTTGTTTTAAGGTCAATATTAAATCGAACTACATTTAAATGTAATAAAAGGGTTAGCTGATTATAAGAAAATCATCATAGAATGTATTCGGACCTAACTTTTGAGATGCAATTGATTGAAAAATACAAGTGTTCACTTTCTAACTGTCCGTTCAGAAGATCGAGGTTAGTAAATTATGTCGGACGGTCCTAGGATTATTGACTATATTCGTTTTTCACACAAAATTAAATATTTGCCCTATTATGGTTACCTAGAAAGAAATAAACATAGTTGGAAAAAAGTAAAGTATTTGGTTGGCAATGACTTTTTTATCATATTAGAAACACTTCACCAACTTTTTGATATTTGATGACTATTTAAATTAAGAGTTTATAGAACAAACACTTAATTATAGGGCTCTCCTAAATTAAAAGGATCTAAGCTTGTAAACTTGTGATTCAATGTTAAAGTGAAAGTTATTGTTGGCAAATTCCAAGTTGGTTTGCAGATAGATCTGAAAAATGTTATATAATTAATTTAATAATTCAATAAATTCATCTAAATATAAATGTCCTTAAGAAAATCTATTTTTTCTAATCAAAACACTTGAGGCAATATAAATTATTAAAAGAATGGTTTGTAAAGAGATTACTATATTATTTAGATTTAGTTAAATTATACATAGTGATTTTGAATTAATTTTTGAAGTCTGAATTATGAATTACATAACAAGCTCAAGGCAGAATATTTAAATNTTTAGACGAAACCCAATTGTAATCCATTAAGGTCAATATAAAAATGGTAAAAAATTTGGTAAATGGGATATGAAATGGAATTGGACAATGTAATAGATATCATTTATGGATTATTTACCTTATGCTCATGGCGGTGGATCATATTAAGAAGATGGTATAAAAATTGGGTAATGGATTGATTTTGCTGAAGGATTTAGTTTTGGATAACAATTAATTTTTAAAGACGAATATAAAAATGGTCGAAAATTTGGTAATTGGATGTTTAGTATCGAATTTGTTTAAGTTACCCTGATTTACAACAATCTTTCCCAAAAATGTATACAATAATATATAAAGGCCTTAATTAATCCAATAATGTACGATAGTGGTAGTGGGTCGTATGATGAAGAAGATAAAGGTTATAAGATTGGGCATAGGATTGATTTGGAATTAAATAATTTATAGTGGTCTATATGATAATAGTAAAAAGGTTGGTATTTGGGTGAAAATTTTAAGAAAAAGTAATTAATGGATGATAAATTTATTAAAGTAAAAGAAATATCTTCTGATATTTCAATGATCAAATCTAATTATGAAAAATAATATTATTAATTTATTAAAAATTGTCTTGAATGTGTAGTTTTATTTATATATAGTCAAATGACTTTAAATTAAACTTTTACTCTTCCTCTTGTTAACGAAATCTTAATAAAAGGAGTAAATTAGTATAAAGTGAAAATGAAAACTTGCACTTAAATAAAAAGGATTATATTTAACAAAGATTTAAGAATTTGTTTAATGAAATTCAAATCCTGCCTAAATTAGCTTGTTGTTGCACTTAGGATATTGCTCACAGTTTGACGAAATGATAAGTGAACCCTAATTTTGCTTATGAGGATGAAGTTGCTCTAACAAATTTGTGAAATTTGCACCTTTCAGAGGAATTTTGTTTTAAGGTCAATATTAAATCGAACTACATTTAAATGTAATAAAAGGGTTAGCTGATTATAAGAAAATCATCATAGAATGTATTCGGACCTAACTTTTGAGATGCAATTGATTGAAAAATACAAGTGTTCACTTTCTAACTGTCCGTTCAGAAGATCGAGGTTAGTAAATTATGTCGGACGGTCCTAGGATTATTGACTATATTCGTTTTTCACACAAAATTAAATATTTGCCCTATTATGGTTACCTAGAAAGAAATAAACATAGTTGGAAAAAAGTAAAGTATTTGGTTGGCAATGACTTTTTTATCATATTAGAAACACTTCACCAACTTTTTGATATTTGATGACTATTTAAATTAAGAGTTTATAGAACAAACACTTAATTATAGGGCTCTCCTAAATTAAAAGGATCTAAGCTTGTAAACTTGTGATTCAATGTTAAAGTGAAAGTTATTGTTGGCAAATTCCAAGTTGGTTTGCAGATAGATCTGAAAAATGTTATATAATTAATTTAATAATTCAATAAATTCATCTAAATATAAATGTCCTTAAGAAAATCTATTTTTTCTAATCAAAACACTTGAGGCAATATAAATTATTAAAAGAATGGTTTGTAAAGAGATTACTATATTATTTAGATTTAGTTAAATTATACATAGTGATTTTGAATTAATTTTTGAAGTCTGAATTATGAATTACATAACAAGCTCAAGGCAGAATATTTAAATTTGTTAAAACAGAGGTGCCTATTAGTTCTTTTGCAAAAACTGTTCAATTCAAATGGAGAATAAAATCGAAAAGTTAATCTTTTCACTGATTTATCATGGCTTTGAAATAGTTAAGAGCAAATGGGAATTATTAAACCAAAAATCGAAACAATCACAATTTTAACTAGTTTAAGCTTAGAAGTTAAATCCTGATGTGGTGTATTGTAGTAGATTTTTGAGTTGTTGAAAATTATATATTGCCTAACTGAATGAAAAAAAATAATCAAAATATATTGTTTTAGTAAAAATCATGAAATAGTTGATTAATTAAAGCAAGGATATTTATTAATCATACTTATTTTAAATCAAATTAATACTTCAAATTATATATTAATCCTTATCTTAGCCCGTTTACAAAGGAGAGTAGATTTTAAAGATATAGCCACTTTTAAATTATAATACCATTTTCAAATTTCTTTCAAAAATATGCTGCCCTTAACCTGAATTTTTCTCAGACTTTTATTTTTTCAAATCTAAATTAATTAATTACCTTTATTTCTAGTTTAAGAGTTTAGATTTAATGGAGCACATACTGTTTTTTCTATATCATATTAATTCAATCATAAATGTTATTATTCATTTAAATTTTAAGATCTGGATTTCATCTCAGCTTAGGATTTTAACAAGTTTATTTATAATTTTTGTTGCATATAACATAATTAATAAAGAAATGATTACTTGGGGTTTTTTTGAGCAACTTCTGATAATGGAATGATACCAATGAGAAATGGTTGAAAATTTAAAATCTGCATAACAAGCAAGCAAGAGTAAATGACATAATTTATGAAATTGTTTGAACATTAGACTTAAAATGTCTTGGTATAAACTTAATAATGCTATCAATACAGCTTCTATGATGAATTAAACTAACTTTATTAAGAAGCTTAATGCTAATTATGATTTTAATATCAAACTTATTAATACTATTAATATATTTTGAATCATTACAATAGGTTAAATGAATTTAAACAAGATTAAATTCGTTAAATTGAAAGCATTAAAGTAACAATTTATCAATATCAGTTATTCACATTTATCACACAATTCAAATCAAAATTAAAATTTAATGATTAATCTGTGGAATAAAGTATAAAATGCTGCGAAATATTTTTGACCATCCCAAATCAATCTTATAGAATGGTATTTAAGTATGGATGTTTTAAAATAAAATAATAAATGATTATATCCATTGTAATTTCATACTCATTGGATCTCAAGTTTATTTTATAGAATGAATAAAATCCAGGTGCCCTAATAAGTAAATATAATGCTAGCAAAAATGGGGTTAAAGTAGTTGGATTAGATTATCACATATTTAATTACTAATTTGGATTAAGGTAGTGAGCTAAAATATTGATGAACTTTAACAACATACAGATTATTTACGTATATTGTATTGACTTCAAATGAGAATTTATTATTTACATAAAAGTCTGTATTCAATAAATAGACATGATAATAATGCTTTGATATTGAGTTTAATTTAATCATAAAATAACTAGTATCGTTTGCAATTGAAAAGAAAATCATTAATATTTAGGAAAGAAGATAAGTTTGAGTTCAAATATTGTATTATAATGGATGAAATTAAAATCTAGATAGTAATTAGAATAATTATCTAGATAATTTTTCTATCCTAGTTATCATTTAATTCATCTATAATTAATCGATTTAAGAGTAAAGGTATAAAGTTCAGTTTTTTTTTAAAGAGAATTAATTTAATTGAATATGATGGTGAAGAATTAGATAGACTTTGTGTATTTGTATTAACAAAAAAGTCTTTAAATAATTAGGTAAATGTAATTCAATTAATTTCAAATTATTAAAATGCTGAAGAATATCTTTTTCCCATAACACATAAAAATGGGATAAATTTTAAGTACTAAGATATAAGAATTATATAATATCATTAGAGAAAACAGAATCGGAAAGTACAAAATAGTTGATTAATTGAATTGCTATACTTATTTTATTTGTGGAACAATCACAAATAGTGGAAAATATTTGGAGCATTTGAATGAGAAAAAATAAATATATGAATTATCAATTAATGAACAAATTCGGACGTTAAATTTATTATTTATTAAATTCTTAAGAATTCTTCTTTAAGATTCATAAAAAACTATTCAACTACTCTAGTAAATTAAAAATATCAAAGTTTGAAATCCAATTTTAATTATTATTAAAACTCTTAGTCTCTAAATTTGATAAAACTTCCTCATTCCACTTGTACTTATATTTTTTATTAAATTTAATTATATTTTATCAATGTCTTTCTAATTTTTAAATTCATTATTATAAACTTATTTTAGATGGCCTCTTTTTAGCACATGAGATAATTGCTATTTTTATACTTCAAACTATATTACAACCACAAATTAATATTATTTGAAGGTGATGTGTATATGAATAAATTTTCAAAATTTTTAGTAATATCTTTACAATTTAGAAACCAATTAACTAGTATCATTGACATATATAGATAGGAAAAAATGTTTGTTATTTTTTTATAATACATTATTGTTCTTAAAGTAAAAATTTAGGCACTATTGTTAATTAAAAATTCCCAATATTTTGTTTCGTGAAACCTAATTTAAATTTCAATTTACTTATTATTAGAAGAAAGCATAGTCTTCTTTCATATATTTACATATTCTTTAAGTAATTGTATTTTTGGATAAGGAAATCTATAGATGAATTTTCATTTATTTTATGAACTAAAAACCTAATAGAATTAGAAATTATTTTATAAATCAGAATCAAATTAACAAAAAAAATATTAATTAAATAATTTTAATAATTTATGTTCAATTGCGAAGAATAAGATCACGATTAGCAAGAGATAATTTTAGTTTGTTTAAATGTCGATTGCTAATTTAAAAAAGCTTGTTGTTTAGATTGCATTGAAAAACACAATTAACATAAAAAAGACTTGAAATCAATAAATTAAGTTGCATAATGAAAGTAAAAAACGATCGAAAGCTACTAAATATATTAAAAAAAGATGACTTAGATTGTTGAAATAATGGAGTAAATTGAAAAATGCTTATCTTCCTTGAATGAAGATTTAGAAATATCATTTGAAGAAATCGAGAGTAATGAGTTTGAAAAATAAATTTTAAATTTATTAAGAATCTAATAATTATCATAACCTTTCAATCAACTCATCTCCAACTTAGAGACACTGATGGAACCTATTTCATAAATATCTTCAAAATTTGAGGCATCTATTATGGATAAATGTGTTTAAAAATAGTCAGCTCTGAAAAATTCAATTACCTAAGTACCAGAACCAACTGCAGGATAAGAATAACAAAAACAATAAGATACAAGAAATTAAAAAGCCAATAAATAAGATAAGAAAAAAGTAACAACAAAATCTACAACTTTAAACTATTTGAACTTAGTATAAAATACTCATATGTTAAGAAAAGTGGATGCTTTTGAGATTCATCAATACCCTTTATATTTTAAAAAATACATATAAAATTTTGAAGATTACAAAACTATCATTCTAATTGGAACTAAATGCTCAGAAAAATAGAAGCTCATAAATTTATTTTTAAATTTCTAAATAGGAGTTGAGTTTTCAGATCCTTATAGATTTGAAACAATCGATGATATCGATATAACAAATTAGAAACAAAATGAGGAGTATTCATCTACGAAAGTATATTATATTACACCATTAAATGGAAACCCTGGTCTTAGAATTATTTACACACAAGATTACAGTGATGATTTAAGTTATGACGATCTCGGAAAACATAGTTCAATAATAAGTATTATATCTTAATCAGCTTCACTTAATCAAAATATCTTAATAGGTTTAGTAATTCCGTAATAAGTGTAATTAGGTACATTCTTTATGTTAGAGTCTGTTTTGAGTCACTTTTCAAATTCTTTAATATCAAATGTGGTCTTTTTATTTCCAGATTGCACAGATGATTGCCCTAAATAGAAGGAAACTTTGTAGTCTAATACAAAATTAATCAATGGAATAGCATCTCCTGTTTTTAATATGATACCGAAATTTAATAATTCTTGGTATCTTAAATTTAATACCAGTATTTTATTTACAGAAAATTTAACATAAGAAAATTAATTCCTCTGGGATATGGGGCAGAATGCTTTTTAATTGCTTCTTCAAAATTATTTGTAAAATGGAATATAATACTCAGATGAGATGAATAAAAAATAAAATGAATTTTTAAATGGTGGCATTATGTAAGGGTTTACATTTGATAATTTCAGAAAATAAGTTCAATAATTTTATGAAAAAAGTAATCTAGTAAAAGAATAAAAAAAAATTGAAAATGATCTGAGTAACATCATCTGGAAAAATTATAAAAGTGAGAGACATGAAGATTATCGTAGAATTTATTGTAATTGTGGTAAAAATTGCGAATTTTGTAATTCTACCAACAGTATTGTAAGTAAATTATTTTCTTTATCTCTATATATCGAACGCTTCAAAAAGAATCTATGCTGGTATGATAGAACAGACCCTGACGCCTTATCTTCTTAATTGAATAATTTCAAGAAAGAAATCCCAAATTATTTGTTGTCAAAATTTAAGAGTTGGTCAGAGTATTTAAAATTTAATTCAATCTTGTCTTTTATTAACTTAGGTCAAGAAAAATATTACGAAAATTTAATTTCCAAAGAAAAATGTTCACAGTAATCAGGATGGGAAGGAAGAGTAAATCATCTAATGGAAAGGTATAATTTCTGGATTTGTTCTAGTAATTATTTTCAAGGTTCTAAATGCTAAAAAATGGAACAATTATTAAATAATTGGCCTGTTTATAAATTTTCTTTTGAAGAAGTGACAATTAGAGATGGAGGACTTGAATATAAATCAGAGTACGAAGAATATCATTATAATGGAAAATAATTAAGAAATGTACTAATATGCTATGACTAAGGTAAAAATGCAAAATCAGAATAGATCTATATTAATAAGGATGAATAATTAATAACTAACTTTTAAAGACATCTTTCTAATTTGAAACTATGTGAACATTGAATTATTCTATATTTAATAATCATATTATATTCATTTCTAATTTCAATAAGAGAAATGTAATTAAAATCATTTCAATTCAAGATTTTGTTGATTAAAAATATCATTCACATTAGGAAAGATTTCATCGTAGTGTTAAATTTTGTATTTTACAAAAATCTTATTCCTATTTCAAATTTTGAATAAATAACCATCAACTTCACAAATAATTACCTCCTACAATCATATTGAAAAAATTTTCACTTAGAAAATTTCAAACTATTGTCTTATATTTTTGAAATCTTATTGTTTAAGAGTTAAATAATTTGAAGTTATTTTTAAATTTGTTTTCTTATCACAGAAACTATTGCTATAAAGCTAGTACAAGTTATTTGTTAATTAGTATATTATTGTTATCAAATTTTAAGCTATCTTACTTTAAATGTACAAATAATTTTTTATATCAAGATCATAATGCAACCAAAATCTGAAGTATTTCTCCTTTATTTCATAAGTTTGATTGACATCTCATTTAAATGAAATTATGATTCTTTAATTAAATATTGGATAACAACAACCAGACAATGTCATCATATCATATCCTTGTATGTTTTACCATTGACATTAAATCCAAACTTAGATTGAACAAAATTCGCTCATTAAATTACAAAAGTGTAATCAAATGTACAATTTATTTATCTCGCATTTCTTATTTAAATTATTCTAATTCCTTTTTAACTATTATTCTTTTTCATTTTAGAATGCAAGATAATAAAATTTATGAATTGAGAGATTCTCAATTTCTTGAAACAGAGCTTATTTAAATTGAGGTACTCTGAAGTAAGAAAGCACAGAAAACTTAACAAAAAAATCATGTTCTTTGTTTGAACAAGAAGTATCAACAACTCTTTATAAACAAAGTGGTATAACTTAAATCATCAAAGTAATAAATAATTAAGCATTATGAATACGTTCTATGTAGTGTCAATACTCAAATGATCTAAATCCATATCATCTCTATAAATGAGTTCACTAAGCACAGCACAACACATTTCCTTGACCATTACTGTTTATTATTTGCTACTCTACTCTAGTAAGTATCAAGTTCCATAAATTGAGAAATCTTCAGTTCTGAAATCCCAAAGGATTTCATTCTTAGCTTCTATTTCTTTTTAGTGGAGTCATGTCTTTAGGAACCAACCACCTTTAAAGTGTTGATACTTATAGGGAACATCATCATTTTATGAATAGTTCAGATTTATATATTTTGGAGAGATGAATGAGTGAAAATCATTCTCTTGAGATTTGATTTTCAATAGAAAACTGTAGGCTATATCTCCCAATTATTCTCCTAGGATACAACGAATGTGCTTGGTATTGATTTTGAGATGAAACTTCTAAGATACTTTGATATCAAAAATAATAGAAGATTAGTTCTAAATTATAAATAGCATTTCACTAAACAAAATATCATGATGTTATGGTCCACTGGCAATTTCATATATTGTATAATCTTATAATGAACCTTGTCTGAGTCATCAAGGATTTGCTTGATTACATATTTGAATATAGTACTAATTTAAAGAATGTAGTCTGCATACTTTGAGGATCCATGTGCAAATAAAAAGTAAAGGTTATGGGCCACTATCCTAAAGGAGTAAGAGTACATGTGGATTTTTGGTGTATCTGATCATGGTGGTCTTATAGAGATGCTCATTCACTTTTACAATCACATATGTACTTTACTGTTAAATATTTTAACCTTTAGACCAGAAATTTCCATCCTAAACATCAAAATCTACTATCTGAACCTAATGTCATTCAGTTGCTACTTCTTTGTCTAATAGGAATAACATGCAGTTCCCATTATTAATTTATATTATATTCTGAATTACTCAATATTTCGATTAGGCATAGGACAACACTGGCTTTTCTACATAAACTAATTTGAATCTCTATCTGACCATGTCTTCAAGTTGATTCACCAATCATATTTCATTTCTTCTTGATTGAGTACTATTATTGTACTCAGGATAAAAGTTTGAGCACAAGACTTCAGCTTAATCCATTTATTGTTGATTTCTTTATTATTTAATGAGGCGGAATTCGAAACTGCTGATTGAACTATTTATCTAATTTTACTTATTGTCTCTCTTATTATTGTTGTAATCTTGATAACACTATGCTGACCTTCTCTTTTGATGAGCTGAACTAACCAACTATTTAAACATTTGAATCTGTAAATTCATTAATTATATGCATCCTTGAATTGCTGATTTCAAATCCTTAGGCACATGCTCAACCTATCGAAGTGAACTCAAATCAAATGATTTTCCTTGATTTGCCAATTAAATGAAAGATGTATTGGAGTTTTTTGATATCAAACGATGTTTATAGCATATATTAATATACCTTACCTAATTCTGAGAAATTTCAATATCCAAATGATATTCCTTACAATATTGTCAATGCTTCTTCTATAGTATTTAATGAATCTTCGCATTATCAACTTCTCTTCTTAAAATAGGCTGACTCTGAATCTGTTGTTTTCAAGATTGTATTTAAATGGAACTAAAAAGTGTTTTCTTGTTACTAATTGCCTACTGTTATTCAATCGTTCTTTATTTTCAATATTGACATATGTTTAATTGAGCATTGGAATCTCTTAGAATACTTCTAGTGTTTTTAATTTCACATTTCTAAATTCATATTCACCTTAGCATTCTTTGATTCTACAATAAAAATTTGGAAGTGATTGACTTATTTCTCATTTGCGAAATCTCTAAATAATGTGAGTAAATTCAAGTCAACATCTAATGGAGATCGATATTTTAACTTCATTTCCATCACAACAGTAATCGATCTCAGTTTAGAATTATTAAGTAGGTGTTGATGATTTGTAGCAGAAACTAAAACTGAGATCAACATGAAAGCAAAGATCTTCATTAATTTAAATAGGCAAAAACGATTAATGTATGTCAATAAATAAATCAATTCACTTAATAAAATATCCTTTATCATAATTTGTATAAGTTCAAAAATTTAATTTATAATCATTCATTATCTATCCAGAACCTAACTTAACTTCCATAACATTTAGATGAAAAATTAACAATTTTAAATGAAAAAAATCTACCTTATAGCATTCCATTTAGCATTCTATTTTAATAATTATTAGCATCACTTATATTTTGTATGAGATATTAACATACTTTATAATAAATATTTTAATATAGAATTCTTTGCCAAAAGAAAACTTCAAGTATTTTCTGAATTGAAAAAACATACATAAAAGATGATTAAAATTTCATGTAATTAAATTACATTTTGAAATACTAAAAAGATTCTAAATTAGATTGATACATTCTTTTTATAAATTTACTACCCTTTAGTATTAAAATTGCATTTAATAATACTACACCAATTCAAATATTTACTTCTAATATGTCAAATCACTAAGTACAACTAATTAAGGCGCCTGATGCCAAATATTCTAAACAAATGATGTTTTCTAGGTTAAGACAGCATCAACACCAACCGCTAGACAACTTAAAAATGGTGAAGTATTGTTGAAAAATCTATACTTCTCAATTGATGCAGCAATGAGAGTATGGATTAGAGGGTATTTATTACGTATTAACTCATCCTAGTGGCAAGACTTAAGTAGATCCTGGTAACAGCATGTTTGGCTAAGCTGTGGCAAGAGCTTTGGCTTCAAAAAGTTAAAAATTCTAAAAAGGGGATTCTGTGATTGGTCTTGCTAATTGGACTCTGTATTAGACGATCAGTGATGCCAAACTACATCTTGTTTAAAGAGGAGGAGATATTGATGATTTGACAGGATACTCATTCTTAGGTCCACTTGGAATCAGTGAATTGACAGCCTATGTTAAATTGGAAGCAATAGGAAATCCAAAGTAGGAGAAACTGTAGTTATCTCTGCAGTTGCTGGAGCCGTTGGAGAAATTGCAGTCTAATTGGCTAAAACATTTTATATATGCAAAGTCATTGGAATTAACGATGGTCCAGAAAAACGTGATTATTTTGAAGACACAATTAGGTGCACATGATTGCATTGATTACAATAATTAAAAATCTTAGTAAAAGACTCAGAGAATTAAAACCCAATCGAATCCATATTTTGATAATGAGGTAGGAGAAATGCTAGATGAAATATGATGCATATCACAGATCACACTAGAATTATTCTTTGTAGAGCCATTGCCACATACATTTTAATTGGAGGTAAATTCATTATTATCATCCATCTAGGACCATATAAAGTCAAGAATTACCCTAGATTAATTATAAAAAGAGCAATCATGCAAGGTTTCCTTTACTTTGATTATCCTGAATTATTCAAGCGAATATAAGTAACCATAACATAAATGCTGAAATAAGGATAATTGAAAGTAATAACACATCATCTATTTTTAGACAAGATATGATGTTCTAAATGGATTAGAATAGGCTCCTAATGGATTGGCTAAACTTTTATTAGGAAAAAATAATGGAAAGGTAGTGGTGCAAGCCAAAGCTGATTAACCAAAGCTTTGATTATTTAGTATATAATAATAATTATATATTAATTAGGTAATTACATCGAGATTATAAAATGTACTTGCTAGCCATTGAGATAAATGAGAGATAGAAAAATCTAAATATATATTTATAAAATTGTTAGTAATTCAATCAATATTTCAAGTATGATCACATGATGATGTTATTGAGATTCAAAATTCTTAATTTAAATACTCATTAATTTGAAAAATCCAGATATTAACATCTTAAATCAAATAGTAATTCTTTTTTAAAAAGATGTGAAAAGTAAAATTAATGGTATTAATAAGTTACATTGTTATTAAGGTTAAATTTTATAAATATTCAAAGGACCTTCATAATAATTAAGCATGCTGATAATCTGCGAGTATTATTTTTGACTAGTGGATGATTATAACCAATTACATATCCTGAGTAATCTTTTAAACTTAACCTGGGATATGGTTCAGAATAAAAAGCCATTATATTATCATCAGTATCTCCTCTTTTGTATTTTGTTCCAAAATATTTCTTAATATAAGCAATCATTTATTTTTTAAGTGCTGAATCTTATGATATCTTTAAAAAATTCTCATGATAAAAATATGATCCTACAGATCTTCTTGGCTCTTACATATTGCATTCATGGC